ATGCTTATAATATTTTTTATCTTTAGTTTATAAACAAGGAAATGGAGACTTAGGAAGTTTCATGATTTGGAGGTTCTAGATAACTCAAAGGATCTAGCCAGGAGACTATAGACAGAAAACCAGGACTGAGCTGTTGCAGGCAGTGTAGAGACATGGGAACTATAACCAGAAGATGTAACAGAGAAGATTCTTTTAACCATAGAGTAGGAGCTGTGCAACTATGTGGTAGCATCCATGTCCTTGGTGACAAGGAAGTTAGAGAAGTAGGGTTGGCTAGGGAATCCTGACAGAAGCTGGCTAGGAAATCCTAACAGAAGCTGGCTAGGAAATCCTGACAGAAGCTAGAGGCAGATGAATTCTCGAGGACCTGGCTGGAGGATGCCAGGTGGGTCTGGGGGCCTGGAAAGGACAGTTGAAGGGCAGGAAAGTTACACCTGGGGTGTCAGCGGCTCACGGTGTTGCAGATGAGCTGTTGGAGAGGTTGTAAACCTAGGAGAACAAAGACTGTACCATGTTCATTGCTTGCAGTGATCACTGAGGGCAGGAGAGAGTGTGGCCAGGTATCCCTGTGGGCCACCCTGCTCCAAGTGATGGTGTTCATGTAGACGGAAAGGGGCTGTGGGCATGGAGGGGCTGAGAGACAGTCGTGGTGTCTTGGCCTAACTGAAGGCTTCCTGGGCTCTCTGCCTGAGAGTTCAAGAGTGGAGCTAGGGGGAAGCTGCTGAAACTTCCAGGATTCCATCCAGACAGGATTCCCAGGTCACCTGCTCAAACTGCCAGAGAAAGACAGTTTTGAAAAAGGAAAACGTGGGATTCTGAGGGTCGGAGCTGTGTCTAGGGGTTTATCTCATTCTATTTTTAAAAAGATTTGGCTTTCAAATTGGGGCTTGGGCGGCAGAGATGAGACTAAACATTAAACACACACTTCCCCATTTCAGAGCATTAACTTTGAAAGGAGCAATTAGGCAGTGATTTTAATGCATTGTTAGGCTGCTGTGCGAGTGAGGGATGTGGGTGGTTCTGTTAGGAGGGAGGCTTGGGCTTTTCCACAGCTCCCCTATTGCCCTTCCCCCCTCACATCACTGTCAAGGCTGAACTTCTCTCTCAGTCTCCCTGCTCTGTGCTTCCAAGTTCACCAGCTACGGTCCAGGTCACACACAAACGCCAGACTGCTTCCCCCAGGTTTAGCTTTTTCTAGACTCACATGATTTAAAATGTTCCTGTGATCCCCACTGTGGGCCTCAGTATAACACCCCCAGCGCCTGTCCTGGCTCCTCTCAGCACCTGCCCCCTTCATTCTCTCTTCCTGGCTGCACTCCTGGTGGCTCCCTTATTCTCCAGTCTGAACGTCTTAAGCTTGATCACATCTTGCCCTGGCTCTCATCTGTAGCGAGGTGTGCCACGTAACTCATGGCACCCACAGCCTCTTTCTTCAGTCTTTGCCTGATCAAGCTCTTCCCGTTCTGTAAGAACTAACCTTAAAGCGTCTCTGCTCCTATGAGACCTTCCCCAGCCTTCGGTCCTCACAGGTCACAGGACATGCTGATATTCCCTCCTGATCTCATTCACAGCCTTGCCCGATATCTTTATAGTGCACATGCCACAGTCTACCTCTGTGTGATGCTTGTTTCCGTGACTGCCTTTTCTATTCTACCAGAGGGCGTTTTAGCTCTTGAAGGTGTAAAGTATATCTGATCATGATTTTATTAATAAGAACTATTAGTCACTGCTATTTGTAAGTATTTGGAGATTTTTAAGTAAGTTTTAAAGACAACTGGATTCTAGTTAAATTGTTAAAGACAATTGGATTCTAGTTTAATTCTACTGTGGTTAGAAACATGTTCTGTCATTTTGAAAATCCTTAGAAATTTCTATTATGGCCTAACATTAGGCCAATTTTAGAAAATTTTCTTTGTTCTGAAAAATACATATTTTACTTAGATTGTAGTATTATAGAGATCTACACCTTGCTGACTTTTTTTTTTGTTTTGTTTTGTTTTTTTCAAGACAGGGTTTCTCTATGTAGCTTTGCACCTGTCCTGGAACTCACCCTGTAGACCAGGCTGGCCTAGAACTCACAGAAATCTGCCTGCCTCTGCCTCCCGAGTGCTGGGATCAAAGGCGTGCACCACCGTCCTGCTTACCTTGTTGACTTTTAAATTTAATTTAAATTTTATCTTTGCTTGCCTCTGTGTGTGTGTGTGTGTGTGTGTGTGTGTGTGTGTGTGCGCGCGCGCGCGCGCGTGCGTGCGTGTGTGTGTGTGTGTGTGTGTGTGTGTGTGTGTGAAGGTAGAGGTCTTAGTCCCCCCTTATATGTTTTGAGACAATTTCTCACTGAACCTGGAGCTCACTGTTTCATCTGGGCTGGTCTGCCAACACGCCTCAGGAGTTCGCTTGCCTCCACCCCTCCAGTACTGGGTTACAGAAATGGATGACCATGCCTGGCTTTTAACATGGCTGCTGGGGATCCAGTCTCAGGTCCTCATCCCTGAATAGTAAACCCTTTACCCACCGAGTCATCTCCCCGGTCTCTTTTGCTTACTTTTTTTTTTTTTTTCCGAGACAAAACAAAGAAAAAGCTTTTTCTGTGTAGCTTTGGAGCCTGTCCTGGAACTCCCTCTGTAGCCCAGGCGGGCTCCAAACTCTCAGAGATCTGCCTGCCTCTACCTCCCGAGTGCTGGGATTAAAGGCGTGCACCACCACCGCCCGGCACTTTACTTCTTGATCTATAAATATAGATTGCCCCTGAATTCTTGTTAGTCCATTGGTTGTCTATTTGTTCCCGTGGGAAGGAATTTTACCTTTTATAGATACATTCTTAACTCAAAACCCTCGTACGAAAGTCAGCATTCCGTTTAGATCTGTCGTGCTTTAGCCTCTGCTGTTAAAAAGGTGCACAGAAAGCTCTGACTGTTGCCTTGCAGTTGTTGACCAACGGCTCTTACTGTCGTAAAGCCCCTTGCTGTAAAGAGCACCCTTGCCTTAGTGTGGCTGGACTGAATTCCTCTGAGCTACTGTTTGCATTGCTTATCTTTCCCACTCTTTTAGTGTTTCAGTTTTCCTATGTTTAAGGTATATTTTTGTGTGCAATTTATAGCTGGGTTTTTTCCCCCCACCCAAGCTAGTAAAACTTTGTCAGTCCGTTGACATTTTGTATCTAGTAACTTACTTGTTTCCGATTCATTTCATTTATTTTATGTCCTATTTCTTCACTTTTTTTGCCTTCTTGTTTATTATTTGAATCCATTTTCTTAGCTTGTTAGTAATATATTATTTTTCCTAGTCTGATTTGGTGATTCAGAGATTATATACCCGTGTACTGATAGTGGGGTATTTGATGTGTGCCAGATACCATATGAAGCATTTACAGAATTTAGCTGTAAAACCTATTCTGAACCAGTTTGGAGGGCAGTTTTAAATATTGCAAGGCTAGGGAATGAATAAACTATTTATCTATTCTTCCCTCTTACTAGAGCTACCACATGCTATGCTCTGACCAACTCCAGGGGCTCCATTCACATTATAGATGTGTATCTAGGCCCCTGATATCCTTTCTTTTAGTACTGCACCAGTGAGCCCAGAGCATCTGCCCCAGTTAAAACTCCCAGGGACAATTACAGATGTTATTAATGTTTAACTACTTTCAAATGGTTCCTAAGGCAACATAAACTATCACCTTGTTTATTTCTACACACTGCAGTAAACATGTCTTCAAGAACCAGGTGTATGAGAAACCAGGGAGTCTGTGCTTAGAGCCATACATTAGTTGTAAAAGGCTATGAGGCCTCCCTTTGAACTCAGGGTTCCTTCTAAGAGGACCCTTTCCTCGGCCTGCAGAAAAGCTCATAGTTCTGGGCAGGAGCCATACTCCAGATGTCCAGGCATTTGGTACAGAAGGAAACAGCCCCTCCCCGCCCCCCACCCCCACCCCATGCAGGCTATGCCCTACTGTGTGCTCAGTGAACTCTCTGGGATTTGGTGGGAGGTGAGCCTCAAAGAGGTGGCAGGGTATTTGGAGAGGATGGAATTTGAGGATACCCCTTCAGTGACCTCTCTGAACATCATTTTTTCTTTCTTTTTTTTCCCCCTTTCCTTACCTCCCTTCCAGTCTTTTTCCTTTCCTCTCTGCAATAGTTAGGATTCATTGTAGGGACTAGTGCCTAGTAGGTAATATTTATCATTGAGCGAGATTCCTAGCCTTTAAAATGGTTTGAAATAGAGGCTCAGTAGCTTTCCTAGGCTGTGAACTCATTCTGTCTGTAGTCCAGGCAGGTTTTGAACTTGGGATCCTCCCACCGCAGCCTTCCAAGTAACTGGAATTATAGATGAGCCCCACCAGGTTGGGCTCAAACTCCAATTTTTGTTGGCTTACATGTTTTGCTAAGAACATCTTGGCCCTCTTAGTCTCCATGTCTTTGGCCTATTGTTTGGAACAGGTTCTCTCGGTGAAACGTGGAGAAAACACTATGACATCCTCCTGTGCGATGGATGAATCTCCTGAGGAGATGGTTCCCTAGACAGGAATCTCTCTGAGGAGCTTAGCAGGCCAACACCAAAGCCGATTGGCGGGCAAGGCCTTCGCCATGGTTTCATGAACCTTTTTACTTTTGACTTGGGCTCTACTTTTGCCTACCAGGAGCTACATTTCTTTATCACCCAGCTATCTTCCTGTGATGTCCTAAGTCAGGGTTCACCAGACTACAACCTGCTTGTTTTTATAATTTTTTTGAGCGGGGGCATAAAATCACTCTGTGCTGGATAGTTTTATGTCAACATGACACAAGCTAGTGTCATTTTGGAAAAGGCAACCTCAGTTGAGAAAATGATCTCACCAGATTGGCCGGCAGGGAAACCTATGGTTTATCCTCATGAATAACAATCAATTTATAAAATTTCAGGAGTGAAGGGCACTACTACTCACCAGTGGACCAGGAAGAAATGAGGGACTCTCCTTGCTCACATCCCACATCCGGGGTATAAGCAAATACTGTGGGTCCCACCTTCTCTATTATGGGCCTCGATTCTTAGTGTTCTTACCATGTGCAGTGTTACCCTGGTCTGACTCACCATCCTCCCTCACTCACCCCCTTCCCTGACAGCCTCTCCTCCATGCAGCAGTGGGAGCCAACTGTCAATCACAAAGCATGTTAGTACTCTGCCAAAAACCCCTGCCAGGCCTCCTTGTCACATTAGAACAAAACCCAGTACTTCCGTGCCTATTTGCTCTGTGGTCTGGCTTCTGTCTGGTTTCTTCTGTCTCGTTCCTTTCCTTTCCCCTGCTTCACCCTTCTCCAACCAGTCTCACCTTCTAGCATGTCAAACGCACCCCATCCTAGTGCCCTTGCCTCTGCTCATCCCCATGTCTGGAAAGGCCCTCCTTCCCCTCACTTCACATTTCCATGCCTTGCTCCTCACGTTATCCAGTTCTCTGATCAGAAGCTGCTGGCTGGAGACCTCCTGATCAGAAGCATCTACCCGGCCATGATGACATAAGGGCCAGGCACACTCCTCCCCCGAGAGCAGTTGCTGCCGGTGGCACGACGTATGTTTGCTTACAGTCTTCCTCTCACCTGAGAATGTCAACTCCACACAGTATGTCTCTTCCACGGTGGTCTGCACAGTGCCTGGCCCAGGCCCTAGCACTTGGTAGGCATTCAGGCTCCAGGCTGCGCTTCTTACAAGAAAATAAATTGAGAATGGCAGGAGTTTGCCTTGAATATGACTTCAGTTCCAGTCTTGGTAGACTTCGGCTGCTGCTGCTGCTATATGTTATATGTTGTTGTATGGTAATGGAGATCAAACTCAGGGTCTCATATCTACTCGGCAAATATCCTACTACCAAGTAATAGACTGAACCATGAAACACTTGTTTTGTTCTTGAGACAGGGTCTCACTGTGTAGCTCTGATTGACCTGACCTTGATGTAGACCAGACTAGCCTCAAACTCACAGAGATACTTTTGCCCCTGCCTGTCTCCTGAGTGCATGGACAGAACCACCTGGTTTTGAAATGTTGCATCTTTCATTTAAAAACTACTTGACTGGGCTGAGAAAAAAAGAATCTCATTCAACCCAGGCTATCATGGTAAAACTACTAGCTGATCATATAAACAAACTTGAGAACATAGTCTAATTAACAGCTACGAGACTCCATCCAGAGTCTAAGACTAGCAACACCTACAAGGTCAAAGTAACAACTCCAAAAGACACTAAATCTCACACATAGTCCAGATTAGTAGCTGAAAAGATGAAGTCAGAGATGTACAGAGGGAGGCTTCAGCCACCTCTTGCTGGGTGGGCAGTGTGTGATCATCTCCCTGGTTGGGCCATAAGAACATGCAGGGTGTCACCCCTGATTGACTTGGCCTCCCATATGCTCAGAGAATTAACCTGTCTCAACAGAAATCAGCCCATCTTTGTCCAGTCTCTGTCATTCTATAATCCCTGCCCCAAGCAGCTTAGTGACTGCCCATGCAGGTCCCCCACTGTCTCTGGAAGCTGCCCTGACTACTTTCTTCCTGCAATCAATCTTGAGCGGTGGGAGTTCCCTTGGAATTCTTTAATTTCTCACTTCTCCTTAATAGAGTTTGCTTTTGATTTGCTTACCCTCCCATGAGTTCACATATTTGACCATTGTGAACACTAGACAGTGAACTAGAGAGCCACTGGCCCAGGTTGACTTCCAGTGACCATTGAGTGTCTGGCACTTTCAATTCCTGGGTCACACCTATATGAACCCCAGATCCCCATTGATCTGGAAAGAACTGCATTACTACCATGATGTGCCGCCTGATCACAGGTCTAAAACAATGGGACCAATTGATTCTGGACTCAACCTTCCAAACTCTAAGCCAACAGTCACGTTCTCATGGTAAGTCAGAAATGTCAGGTATTTTATTATGGTGATGGGAAGATGACTGGGCAAGTGTGTAGCTCAATGTATTTCCCACAATTGTCTAAGCTAAACCTTAGGAGTTACCCTTCACTTTTATTTTTATTTTCCCAATTTCATTCATTCATTTGATGCAATATTTATTGGGCATTTTCTCTTTGTCAGACTTAGTGCTATTTTCTAAAGGTACAGGCATACTGTCATAGTTCTCCCAGTATATTAAGAAAGTGGTTAAATTAATACAAATTTATTACCTACAGCCAGAGAGGAAGTCTTAAGGAACCACGGAGAGGCCAGTTCAGTCCTAAGTCCTTTTGTTTCTACCTTCCAGATTCTTCTGTCCTACTTCTCTACACCTCTATTCCCACTGCGGCTGTAGGCCACTATTCTCGGCCTCCTGTTGGTCTATAGGAGCTTAATTCCTAACTCTGTCTCCAGACTTGCCTGCCTTTCAGGGCTTCACGTGTGTGTGATACATAGGATGACCCTCAGACAATTGTTCAGGGTCATTTAAAATAGACCCTTGTCTCACTTTCTAGTTGCATCAATCATGTTGCATTCCTCAAGGATAAGGAGCTCTTTATCTGTATAGATGAGACAGTGAACTAGAGAACCACTGTCTCAGGCCTTGTACTGATGCTTTCTAGAAGCCCGAGTTTGCTGGGTGGTTTGAGAAGCCACATGGAGAACTCTGGTACTTCACCAATTGAAAGACCTTTAGACAACTTACTCTCAGGAATGCCTTTTGGGTTGAGTAAGGGAGCCTGTCAGAATTACTAGTTAACCACTCTTTTGGGGGTGGTTTAGTTACTTCCCTTTCTGCCCCTTCACTGTTCTCAGAAAGATTATCATCTAGCATCAAGGCCAGGGAGTATTTTATAAGATATGACAGCCAGGCTGGCAGAGCAGTTGCCAATGTTTGAACCATCTACTGCATAAAAATTATTTCTCATTTTCTCTCAACTCTTCTCCCCACCTGCCTCTAGTCTTTATTTCAATTTCTCTGGTGGAGGAACTTGGAGCCGAGTTAACATTTATAGTGAAATGGTCAAAGACCTGAATTCATTCTGGAAATCTAAGTTTTGGCACAGCTGAGGGTGACTTTGTGCTTGGTGTGTTGAAATGGGGCCCATTGTCCTATTACAGCTGCCTGGATACAGGATAAAATAGCCTCAGGATGGAACTAAGATGTTCCCTGCTCAAATGCTCTGAAAATGACTTGGACCTGAAGCAGCACATGACCCAACCCATCTGCTCCCTGCAGATGTCTCTCAGTTGCCTAGATTCCTCCTTGACTTTTGGGCCCCACCACTGGGGCTCCATTAGAACTGCCCAAGGACTACATTTTAAGAGGTGACACAAGGGGACCCTCTGTCCTAAAACTGCTCCATTCCTAGCTCTGAATTCTTAATTTCTGATTGTTTCCTGTCAAACTCAAATACCCCACGAGGGAAACATTTCAAAACATTATTTCCCATTAGCATCTCAGTGCAAATTAATTTGTTCTCTACTTGGAACAGCCCCAGAAGCTTTAGAACACAGGATATTGCCATAGGCTCTCCGAGAAGTGGCCTAAGGACACTTGTATTGGCAGTTCAATGACTCAGTTTAAGGATCTCTGTTTGGGTGTGTCAGGCCTGGGAAGAAAGACGGGGACACTGACTCCCTAGTGGTGGAGGACAAGTTGACGGAACTTAATACAGGCAGTAGAAAAATGCCCGAGTTACAGGCTTCCTGCTTCTTAATTTCCCTTCCTGCTCTGGTTGTAGCCATCTCTACTAGGAATACCTCCTTCTCCACTTTTACCCATCATGCACTTGTTTACCTGGGGTCCTCTCTGTTGAGCATTGCTCTCTTCTTCTATCATGGATGTCTTGCTTTTCTATTTATGTATGAAGCCTGCAAATACAAGGGATCTTGGAGAATTTCAAGTTCTACTCCCCAACTTTAAAGACAAGAAAAGTGAGACTCAGAGTGAGGGAGCAGCTCTCCTAAAGTCACACAGCGGGGTGCTGCCACCAGGGCAGGGCTTTCTGGCTTTCCACTCTGTTTTACATCTCGTCTACATCCCTACATAATCTGATTAGGCAGGAATTAGGACTTCAAAACATATGAAGATTGTGACACAACAATCTTCATATGTTTTGCGTGCATAAGAATAAAATAAATGTTCTAGAGTCAAATAGGTTGATGTGCCAAATAACATACACTGTTTTTGTATAAAAATGGAGAATAACCTGGAACTTGGATGTCAGGATATATCCATGCTGGGCCAAACCAGACCCAGCAGTCACTTACCTGTGAAGATACTTGCTATAGTTTGGATATGAAATGTTTCCTCAAAACTCATGTTGACAGCTTGATCACCAAGGTAATATTCAGATGTGGAGTCTTTGGGAACTAACTGATTCGTAGGTTCTCTGACCTAATCAGTGGGTTAACCCACTGATGAATTCGTAATTTGAGGCCATTACTGCGAAGGGGTAGAAACTAAAAAGCAGGGTCTCATTATAGGAAGTAGCTCACTTTGTAGAGAGTCCTTCCTCCTCTATCTCTTCACCATAAGCCTAGAAACCGTGGGGCCAGCCAACTGTGGACTTAAATCTTTGAAACATAAACCCCAACAACCTTTATCTCCTTTAGGTTGTCTTCTCAGGCATCTTACCACAGCAAAAACAAACACCAAACAAACAACAGCTCCCTCCAACACACACTAAAACACTCCCGGATTCTGAAGCCTCTGCTTAAGGCTCCTTTGTTAAATGGCTTCCCCAGCACTGTGAGAGCCACTATCCTGGGTGGCCATTTAAACGGACAGACATGAAATAACAACTAGAAATGCAGGTCAGTGGTACTCCACATTTCAAGAGCTCAATGGCCACGTACAGCTAATGGCGGCTGTATTGGATATCACATATAAAGTGTTTCCAGTGCTGCAGAAACATCTGTTGGGCTGCCCTGGGGCCGACTTGGGGGGTAAAGGGGAAGCAGACATAGAGAACATCCTGGGAATATTTAACCCTGTCCCACTAGGGAAAACAAATATCCCGGGAAGAATTCAACTGCCACTCTCTCCTTCAGATAGCATTAATGACTGGAAAATTACAGCTTCAGCCAGGAATTAGTTCACCTGCTTGCTGACCTGGGCTGAAAAGGAGGTGGAATGCATGCATCTCTTTTTAACTCTGTACTCATCAAGGCTCATCAGGGAACCTGACATCTGGCATATCATAACATACTCCCATTTCTGCTATCTTCTGCATTTGGAAAGTGAACTGTGTAAGACGGAATACTTTCATGTATCTGGTTAGAGTGTCATTGTAGGATTTCTTTTGAGTAATACTTGTATAATAATAGTCTTGCTCGTTTGGGAAAGTTACAGTATTCCTGTTTTGTGCAGCATTATGATGAATTGAGGTGAGCAAAACATTTCAGTTTCCTGTACAGCCTCCCTTTCAGGGGGTCCCGAGCCCAGGATATGACATATAGATGGGCATATCCTCATTCGTTTTCTTGAGTCCCCTTCATCTCCTTTCAGGACCTCTGCTTCCTTCAAGGTTTCCCACAGTTGCAGAATTCATATTAGCTAATTAGAGATCCCAGTAGTTTACCCCTTCCTCTTATAGGAGAGCTGGTAACAGTGCAGGCATACTTGTATTATTCTCCTCAGGAAGTTGGTATTCTTGCAGGGACCTTTTCAAGGTCATGGCATTGGGGGAGTGAATATCCTGTGTCTAATTTCAGCTCAGTAGTAGGCAGCAGTTGGGGAGGCACTGGAGTAAAGCTTTGCTCAGCACTTGCAAATCACAAGGCTATGCCGCCCCACCTGGACTGACTTTCTCTTGTCTTCTTCCCCGGAAAGCTGTATATCCATACCTGCCTCTGGAAGTAGGATTTTCTTTAGGTTGAGCTTAAAGACCCAGATTTGGTGGTGTAGGCACAGGCACCTTGGTGGTGCTGGTTCACCCTGAGTCTCATAACTCACTGATAGGTAACCAAAGCTTTACTTTGACCTCCAGTTTGGCTCTCCAGGGTCTGGAAGTCTGGGTTCACAATTTATCTACTATCCAACTCCTTCCAGGAGTCCCCTTGCCTCTTTCCTCCTGTATTACAATTCTGGGATTTAATGACCACCTTCCCAAGTTCTATGCACAACCCATCTATATCTCTATAGTCCTGTTTCCTGGACAGTATTTTGTGTGTTGAGCTTTCTTGAAGTCCACCCCTTGTCCAAAGAATCACTTGGCTGACATCTTCTCTACAATATATTGTGCATATCTCTTATCTACCAACTAGTTGTTTACAAAATGCTTACAAAGTGTCAAACTTAATGCTAATCACTGTTAGTAAATGTTCTTATTTCATCGTTATGACAGCCCTAGGTAGGTTGCTTCTATTATTATCCATGTCTTAAAGATGAGGAAATAAATTGAAGGTTAGATATATCACCACGGAGAGATTAAATGACTTATCTGATATCTTATTGATAGTAAGTGTCGGGCTAGGATCATAACCCAAGTCTATTTCTCTTCAGAACCTGAGCTCTTAGCACTGAGCTCTGTTGTCTGCATGGTGGCTGTCCATCACTTGTAGCCAAGATTAGTATAAGTGTGTGTCTAGGCATATACTGGCTCCAGTTTTATTTAGCTTTGCTATGCCGCAGACTTTGGGGCACATAATGAAGGGGCTGATCTCCTAGAGTCACATGAGTCTCTGTATACAGCCCCTCTGAGCCTGGGTTAGTTATACCCATTGCCAATTGTTCGGTAATGGGAGTCACTCAAAATACATTTGAAGGGATGAACAGATGTACTAAACAGTAGCATAGAAATCTGTTACTTCACTGATTTTTTTTAAAAAATTGTTTATTCTTTAATAAAAAAAATGTGTACTAGTGGGTTGTTTGCCTGCATGTATTGTAAGTGCACCACAGGCATGCAGTGCCCGCCGAGATCAAAAGAGGGTGGAACCGGAGTTACAGACAGTGGTTAGCTTTTATTGTGAGTGCAGGGAGCTAGGGACTGAACCCAGATCTTCCTCAAGAACAAGTGATCTTACCTCCTGAGACATATTTCCAGCCCCTCACTTCTTGCTTTATCAGGGACATGTAGACTGTCATGGCAATGCCATACTGCCCTTAATATTGCACTACAGGGACCACACTAATGCTAAAGGATAGTGTCTCCTCGCATCAACAGAACCTATTTACAACTGGAGTCTCCTTTGTAACCAGGCTACTTTGCTTACGTCATTGAAATTCTTTCTGTGTCCTGAACTGTGGCTATCTGGGGGAGAAGTATGGGTTCCATTCTAGAACATGTCAAGCTCCCCATTTTGACAGCAAATGTAGGATATAAGCAGGAGAGTTTGAAAATGAGAGTTCACCAAGAATGTTTGTCTATAGCAAAGGTATTTCTGCCCTATAGAATAATTATAGGAGAGTCAGTGAAATAATGCCTCCTTTGCATTAAAGTCTAGCTAGAGGGTGAGAGACATCTAGTGAATTTTACTGTGTGTTCAGTTTGGTGTATGTTTGTGTGCATAAGTGGATACATGTGCATTTATACATGTATATATGGTATTTAGATGTAATTTATAGGTACACACACATGGTGATACCTACCTTTGTGTTTGTGTATATGTTCATGTGTTTTTATGTGTATTTGCATACATGTATGTTCATGTTTTTTTTTTTTTGTTGTTGTTGTTGTTGTTCTGTTTGTTTTTTGTTTTTCAAGACAGGGTTTCTCTGTGAGTCCTGAAACTCACTTTCTAGACCAGGCTGGCCTTGAACTTACAGAGATCTGTCTGCCTCTGCCTCCCGAGTGCTAGCATTAAAGGTGTGTGCCACCACCTCCCGTCTCATGCTCCTGTTTGTGTGTGTACACACACATGTGTGCAAGTGAGAGGAAGATGGGGGAAGAGGAGGATGAGGAGGAAGGAAAGGATGGATATGAGATTGCATAAGACCCAAATGAGGGCTAACGCTAAAGTAGGCTTCTCCTTTTAGAGTCCAGATAGATTATGTGAAATCTGGACAGGTAAAGGAATATTACAATTACTTGTTGATAGTGCCTGTTAACAACAACAAAAAAAGATCTTTTATGAGTCCTAAGTAGTAGGCAGATATGAAGTAAAACTGGGTTAGTTATATTTAACTAACCTGACATAAGATATGATTTTCAGATTTAAAAGATAATACGGTCTCATAAAGACCTTGCTATAGTTTTCACCTAAAATGTTTCCTGAAGGTCCGTGTGTTAAAGGTTTGTCCCCTAGTCCATGTAGTTAGTAGTAGGTGGAGGAACCTTTAAGAGGAGAGGGCTAGTCGCAGGAATTTGTGCAGCTGTGTGCATGCCCTTGCAGGGGATATCGGGACCCCAGTCCCTTCAGCAGTCTCCTCTGCCACAGGCTCACTGTGACACATTGCTTTGCTACAGGTCCAAAAGCAGACCATGGAACCTTCAAAACTGAGCCCAAATAAGTAGATTTTCTCAAGTATTTTGCCAACTGACCCTAAACTGCATAGCTCAGACCTCAACTTGAGATCAGGTTTTTTTTGTTTTATGTTTTTTTTTTTTTAAAAAAAAAACATTTATTAGTGGTGTGATTTTGGTTAAGCCAGCCTATGTCCTCATCCAATGACAGAATTAAAAATATCAATTCTAGTCACTTACCCAGGCTAGTGGCACAGAATTTATTTAAAGTTTGGTGTGATATCCAAGCAAAGAAAATGAGACATGTGAGGAAAAACTGTCTCTGTTGCAGAGATTTATCTGGCCTTGGCCTATTCATGTTTTCTGAGATATCAGCAATGAACAGGAACAATGGGGTCATATTTCTCCAAGAAGTGGTCCAGAAGGCTCCTCTGAGTTTCTGGACAGCAGAGGGGGGTGAGGAGATCAGCAGTTGTGGGTCCCACTGGCTATATAGGAAAACTGTGTCTGCCTCTTATCCGTGAGAGATTTATGAGCTTGGCAAGATCGATATGCCTTCTGCTGTCTTTGAAAACATGCAGCAAAACAGACCTGTTTTTATAATCTTGTTCAATTGTGGATGGAATTGAATGAGTCAAGGAGTCCAAAGGAGTCAGCCTGAAAATTCCGAGAAGACACAACTGTAAGAACAGAAATTTGATTAAGGAAAATTGTATGAGGGGTGAAAGCTTGGTGAATTGCCTGGCAGGCTTAGGAGCTGGGATAGAAGGTCAATTGCCATGGGCTAGTCAGCTAGGGTAGGAGGTTGCCCTGGCAACCTGGTGGCCACCACTCAAGGGAAGTTTGTATGTATAGCTGGACCGCACAAATACATGACTTGTACAAGGTTGGGCCTGTCAGCATTCTGTGGTGGAATGGAGGAGGGGCTCATAAGGTCTTACCCCACCTGAGGAGCTTTTGACAGTTAGTGGTTACCAGGGAAGGGGAAGACATTTTCTTCAGTGCTGTAGCCAATGGTAAATGGCCCATGTTCCTGTATCCCTGTAAATAACACCTTGCCTGTGTTCATGTGAACAACTCTAACTCATCAATCTCTCTCCCACACATATACATATGCACAACATGAACAAGAAGGGAGACTAGTTGGAAAGAAGAAGGTTGGTGGGAATGGAAGGGGGGGGTAAGAGACATAGTGGGGGAGTGACTATAACATATTATATGTAATTAACAAATGCTAATTAACACATTTGAGCTCTAAAAATGTGTAGGTGGGGATTTGGTTTGGTGTGATATCCAAGCAAAGAAAATGAGACATGTGAGGAAAAACTGTCCCCGTTGCAGAGATGTATCTGGCCTTGGTCAGATGAATGTGGGGATAGGCAAGGAAAGGTGCTTGTCTTCGCACCAGATCCCTGTGTGAACTGGCAGGCACAATCCCATTTAGGAACTCCATTCCATGCAGGGAAGTTGACTCTCTAGTAGAGATCTCTGTAGAAAGCACACAGCACCAGTGGATGCAAAACGTTCTCTGACTCCTCTTAGAAGAGATGCTATCATCTAAGATGCTTAGACAGATGCTGTCTTCGCTCCTGTCTTCAGTCTCAGTGCTATTGAGATTTCTGACAAAGTTACAGCTCCTTTTTGTTCATCCTAACAGTACAAGCTGGAATCTTTGGCAGCAGAGTCAGATGCCCATGGCACAAAAGGTAAGGAGGCACTCACCCTGAGTGCTTATTCTCAGTGCCTCCTTAAATTCTGGTCAGGAAGCCTGTTTGCTTCACTCTGGTGGCCCCTGGGAGGCCTGGAGGGCAGGTTTTCACTGGTGGTCATCGGGGACTCTCCCCACCAGTTTCTGCAGTGTCATTCTTGGCCAGGAATGGCCAAGTGGACAGCACCAGTGGCTCAGGGCTTTCGGTAAGGGGCCTCGTTTCTTTGAAGCTCTGACTTCCCTGAGGTTGAAGGATACAGCAGAGTCCCTGGGAAGAGGACATGAGGCATTGGGGTACCGAAGGAGCCATGGCAGAGAGGCTTGGGTCAGTGGCTGGAGCACTGTCGGAACTCCCCCAGGTAAGGCTCCAACACTGGACTCCCCTAGCCTGACACTGGGCACTGTGATCTGTCCTCCGATTCATGCTATTCTTTCCTTCCTTGTGAGGTCAGCATTTCGAAACAAATCAAAGCCGTCCCTTCTCTGCTCTGTCTCCTGCTGTCCCTGGAGCTCCCATGCCGCTCTCCCTGTGGAACTTTCCCCTCCACATCTCACAGTCTGGTTGGATTCTCTCTCACCTCCGAATGGCTGAATTTCTTTTAGACCTTGGAAAAATTCAGTCACTGCACTCACCAGATTCACACTGTTTACCGACGGAGCCCAGTGTCCCTGAATTACCCTGTTACATTACAACTACAATACTTACCATTTACATACACATTTTTTTGGCTACAATTCTGCAAATTATGTAATATATACCAGTTTTATGGATGGGAAACTGAGGTGCAGGGAAATGAGATTTTTCCAAAGACAGACAAATAGTAGGTGACATGTCTGAACTCTGAATTCTCATTCTAGAACTTTCCCTATTAAGCCTTGTTGCCTCTCCAGTCAAGCCATGGAGGGGCCAGGCCAAGCAGTAACAGTGCTTTTGGTTATTTTCACCCAGCTTCCCTTCCATTCTGACCATCTTCTGACTCACCTTTTCAGAAACCAAGTCCCCCGGTCCCATCATATCCTTCCCCACTCCCAATCAGTCCCTCACCTGGGTACTCCGTGTGGGAGAGTAGTAAGTGGATGGCCAAGCCCAGGAAATCACAGGTGCAGTTCCAGGGGTTTCCACTTAGATACACGGTCTGGAGCAATGTCAGCTGGTGCAGGGAATCGTGTCCCAGGATCTGCAACCCGGTGTTCCGGAGGTCCAGGAACCGCAGGGAGCTGGTGTTGGCAAAGGTGTGTTCGTCGAGAGACAACAGGTGAGGGTTGTTCGAAATGTTCAGCCGCACCAGGCTGCTGAGCACTGAGAAGGTGAATGGGGAGATGGAAGTTAGGTTGTTGGAGCTGAGGTCAAGGTAGATGAGTTTGAAGACCCCGATAAAGGTATAATCCATGAGCTCTCGGATCCGGTTGTTCTGACAGTCCAGGTAAACAAGGTCACTGAGGAATCCCAGCTGCATGGCTGGTAAACTAGTGATTTTGTTATTGCCCAGGAGTAGCCTCCTGGTGTTCAGAGGAACGTCAAGTGGGTATTCCATTAGCTGCTTATCTGTGCAAGATACTTCTTGGTCTTGACACAGACAGTTGGTTGGGCACTTGGACCCTGATACCAGCCCCATTCCTAGAGAAAAGAGTAACAACTGGGGGCCAGGGCCTGAAGCAAGGGACATAGTAAGAAGCCACGGTTCCCCTCCTTCTACCTTCCTGAGGGCGGGCACACGCTGTCCTTCTGATCTGAAGGCTGCCGAGGGGCGGGCCTGGGCTGGGCAGGGCAGGGGATGGGTGCTGGAAAAAACTGTAACACTCTAGCTTTGTGCAAAGCAATTTTCCATTACAGGAGAACTGAACAGAAGTTGAAACGCGAGGCCCAGTGCCCTGCTGCCGGCTTGCTTGGTGGCCCTGCCTCTTGCTCAGTCCGGAGTGCTGTTGGAAGCTTGCCCACTTGGCGGCTTTGAAAGGTCTCACCCTTCCCCTGCCTTTGTAAGTGAAGGGGAGCCAGGGGAGAGCCACATGACAATGAGGTCGCCAGTTGACACTTTTGTGATGTCAGCAGCCTCAGGAGACTGCCAGGCAGAAGGAAAGGCTTCTCAGCTCTTCTGGGAGTTTGGGGGGTGTTTTGTGTATGTAGGTAAGCTTGCTCTCTGGAGGAGTTGGGCATGTGGGTGTCGGGGGACACGCATAAGGGCACTATGCGCATGTGTGTGCCAGTGCGTGCTTGGAGTGTTCATACCAGCTCCTCAAAGAGGTGTCAGAGAGGATGTGGCTAGATCGGAGCCCCTAACTCATAGGGGGACCTGGGATGTCTCCAGCCCCATTATCCTTTCTGATGATCAGCTCCCAGAGTGGGTATTTTCATGAGTTCTGGATTTTGAGAGGTGCCAGTTGTTTTTAGAAGATAGGAAGAGGGTTTGCCTCTTTTGTAATAAAGCAATGGGAATTTCTCTGATAAGGCAGGACTCTAAGATTATATTTTTAGGTTGTATACATTCTTGTCTACATTTTGGGGGGCGGGGAAAGAGAACATTAGTATTTTTAAGGACTTTTTTGAACAATTGTAAGGTACTCTACTTAAAACAAGGCCGAAATGTACATATTAAAACAAAAACAAAAACCCAGTGTGATAATATGAATAATTTATCACTTGCATTCACCTAGAACTTTAAACACACTGGGTGCATTTCTAGTGCTTCTTCTGTGAGTTTCTTCTGCTCAATAACTGCTCACAGATGATAGGAGTCTTTTGGAGGTACAGGGTCTGGAAGTTCTCTCTGGGATGTGTAACTCACTCCATGGGGGAAGGCATGAGGTCAGAAATGAAGATAAAACATCTTGGGAGTTAAAGTTGTATATTTATGGAAAATAGGATCTTACTCTTTAGAAGGCTTCATAGATAATGTAGGTAGGAATATTAATAACTCGGTGAAACCTGTACTTAGCTTAGCATAGTGCCTGGCACTAGGCATATAATAAATATTTATTGAATGAATGATGCGTGAATGTCTCTGATGGTTTGCTTCCTTTTCTTGCTTCTCTGCCAAGAGAGAAATTAATAAAGTCAAGTGGATTCATGGCTAGTTAGCTAATGCTTGATTTTGTTTACTGACTCAGCATTTCTTGGGTGACTGGCTGGGAATTAACATGATGACTTAGGGATGTTTACTAAATTGAAAGTGACCTTCTTTAAGCAGAAATTTCAATCACTTAATGTAATGCCCTAAATGATAGTTATACAAATTGAAACAAGATTTAATTGATAGGGAAGCCAGCCTTTCTTTGTAGTTAAAATAAATTCTGTTTTAAAAACATAAAAACATAAGCAAGTCCCTCCCTTGAGCTTCGAAAATTGCTCATGAGATAAATTTAGATCATAAAAATCTATAGAATGAGATTAATCTCCAAAGTGGCCATTTCCTCTGGGAGTCGCAGTGGAGTGTGCTGCTCTGGCAGGGTCTCCTAGGGACACTTTATTAGATGTGGGTCATGTGTGCTGGCCCCTTTGTTCCCATGAGTGATGGTCACTGACTGACCTCTGAAGCTCTCAGAATGCTCTGACTTTCTACTCTCTCTTTCTTTTTGAAAAGTGTTTTAATTACACTGTTTAATTTATGTATGTGTGTATTTGTGGTGTGCATGTGTGGGCACAGGTATGCCACATTGTGCGCATGGAAGTCAGAGGACAACTTGAAGGAACTCTCTTCCATCCACCCTGTGGGTCCTGGGGACTGAAACCAGATCATTACTCTTGGTAACAAGTGGTTTTACCAACTAAGCCACCTCACCAGCCCCTCCACCTTTCTTTGGTACCATTCTGTCTCTCTTAGAGTCTTTCCTCAGAGAACCATGACTCCAGGCTGCCCCATTTAGTTTTCCAGCATTCTTGACTTCTTCGAGACAATAGCCTGTTTAACCATACTGTGCAAGCACCCTCACTAGCAAAAGCTCTAGATAGATTGGTTATGCTGAAGGTTATTGAGCGGCGGCACTGACGGGCTGCATCTCACTCCCTGGAATGGTCAACCTCAGTCATTCCTCTTGTTTTAGGTAGCTGTGCAGTTTCTAGTCCTGCAGCCTCAACACTCACGGGTGCACTGTGATTGTGGGAGGTCAGACCTGCTTCCTGAATGTGTTCATTTTGATAGCGGAGTCCATGTTGTTGGAGGGCTGGGGAATCGGCCAGTCAAGCACTTGCCATGCGAGAATCCAGTGACCTGAGTTCAGTCCTCAGAACCCACGTTCAAAAACTCGGAATAAGGCAAAGGCAGTGGATCTCTGGGGATTGCTGGCTGGCTAGCCTAGCACACCACCCACTCAGTAAGTCCCAGCTGACTGAGACCCTGTATCCAAAAACGAGGTAAGGCTGGGCGGTGGTGGCGCATGCCTTTAATCCCAGCACTCAGGAGGCAGAGGCAGGTGGATCTCTGTGAGTTCAAGGCCAGCCTGGTCTACACAGCGACATCCAGGACAGGCTCCAAAGCTACACAGAGAAACCCTGTCTTGAAAAAAACCAAAACCAAAACCCAAACCCAAAACCCAAAACCCCAAAACCAAAAACCCAAACCCAAACCAAAACTGCCCCCCCACACACACAGATAACGGTGAATAGACAATTATTTCTTAAATTCTCTTGTCTGTGAACTTTAGGGTTTTTTTTTTCCTCAAAAAAAAAAAAATACCTTCTGTGACATTATTTCTTAGATCGTACTTTTGGACAGTCTGGATCAGGCTGTTTGCCACTGGCTGAGTTGCTTAACTTCTCTGGGCTCTATTTTATTTTTTTTTTTCTTATATCTATTTAGGGAGGTAGGCTGGAAAATTTATACATCTCTGTAGAACTTCTGAACCTCTTTCATGGTGGAAAAGTTACAGGTACTGAGTGAAGAACAATGGGGAAGAGTTGTGGGGCCAAGAGAGTGTACCCCCCAGAGTGTATCCTCTGAGTGTACCCCGGGAGTGTACCGGGAAGCCCTCCACACGGCTGCAGAAACAGAAGCCTCTCCCCAGAGAGCTGCTGACAACCCCAGCCACAGCTAGGCTGTCCTCTCAGTGTGTGTGTGTGTGTGTGTGTGTGTGTGTGTGCCTCGCCAGCCCACTTCTGCCCCTCAGGCAGCCAGGGGCCATTCCTTCCAGGAGATGAGTGGTCACGGCCTGGGTCCTGCTTTTAACTCTTATCTGATGGAGCGTTCCCAGCTTAATGGTCCCTTCCTGGTGCCAGAGAATCTCCAGTGGCTCTGGGTGGACTAAAAGGCAGCTTCTGTGGGACGACAGGGCAAGGTGACCTATGACGAAGTGGCGTTTCTGAGACACGGAAGTTCTCTCAGAGTGAGGGGATGTGACTGACAAGCTAGGCTGCTAAGGGCCCTCCCAGGTTTGTTTAAAACGTCCACAAGAGGCAGCTGTGAAAGCAGAGGGCCGACACTTGATGCTTGCGGCCAAGTCAAGCGCTTACACAGGTAAGCCACTCTTACTACTGAGAATTCCATGTAGCTGCCTTGCTTCAGGTGGTAAGGGAAGCTGACGTGGTGATGCTTTTATTTGCCTGAGAAGAAAGGAGCAATGAGGAACATACATGCCATTGTATTAAAAGTGTGAGTGGGCGCCACTGAGGGCTCACATGGAGTTATTAACCAGTGGTGCGCAGGCCAATATTGTTTTTGTCTTTCCTAGCAGTTAAACAGGTGTTCATATCTAAAGAAGTATGAGAGCCACTTGGGACATACAATTCACCCCAGACTTTGAGCTTGCCCGGCCTTTCTCCAGCAGAGTCCTCTCTGCGAGCCTGGGACCATGGGGCAGTGCCGAGAAAAGCAGGTGAAAACAAGTAAGGTTAGTGTGGAAAAGAGAAAAAAGTCCCAAAGCATGCTGGGAGGGTTAGGGCCCAGGCCCATCAGTATGTATGTAGTTGTCTGTCTATACCTTGGGTCTGTTTTTAGTATCAGCTGGTATAAACTACCATCACCTTTTCCCTCAAGGTTGCCTGAGTTTCCCACTTAGATAGACTTTAAAGAGGTTGGAGGAACTCACTCCAATTTCTTGTGCTTCCCAGGAATGCTTTTGTTTTCAGGATTCCTCCATATTGTGCAGTTCCACAGCACTCATTGTCCAGAGGTGACCAAGGGGAAGCCTCAAAACTGCATACAAGATTTAGTGGAAGAATTGGATCCCACCTCCAGCTCAGAACAGATGGTTCTTTGTACCATGTGTTAGTGGTAGTTTGAATGAAATTGGCCCCATAAGCTCTTAAGGAGTGGCACTATTAGGAGGTGTGGCTTTGTTGGAGTAGGTGTGGTCTTGTCGGAGGAAGTGTGTCACTCTGGAGGTAGGCTTTTGAGGTTTTATATATGCTCAAGCCATGCCCATTGTTTCAGACCATTTCCTGTTGCCTGCAGGATCAAGATGAAACTCCTCCTCCACTCTCAGCTCCTTCTCCAGCACCATGTCTGCCTGCACGCCACCATGTCCTGCCATGATGATAATGGACTAAAACTCTGGAACTGTAAGCCACCCAATTAAATGTTTTCCTTTATAAGAGTTGCTGTGGTCATGCTGTCTCTTAGACAATAGAAACCCTAACAAGACAGATTTAAAAGTGAAGGTGTGACTTACAGCTGTCAGGGAGAGAAGGCTTGGTTTTCCAGGTGCCTTGTAGATTTCAGTGTGGGAGATGCCTGTATAATGTAAGCTTTGGGAGAAGACTTTATTGATCTGGGTGGTGGTGGGCATACACCTTTAACCCCAGCACTTGGGAGACAGAAGTAGGTGGATCTCCAAGTCTGAAGCTACCTTGCTCTGCAGAGTTAGTTCCAGGACAGCTAGGCTACACAGAGAAACTGTCTTGAAAAACAAACAGAAGATTTTATTTAGTGACTTGGGTGTATACCAGTGCTTCCTTCTGTGGGCATAAGTCTCCCCTTTGGTGAGAGGGTGATGGACATTGCCTTTCTAGGGCTGTTAAAAGGACAGTAACTGCTTTTTACCATCTAC